TTAATCATGTATAACTATCACAGGGCTAGTGATAATGGTAGAAGAGCATTAACAAACTTTCCCTGCTGGTACAATAGAGCCTAAGTTGCAATGCCAATAAAATGAACATGGTCCAAAAGTACTTTCCTGCTCATAGGAGGACACTTTATACTTGTGAAAGACTCCTTCCATTGAGAGGAAGGCTCCCTTCTTTTCTGTGAATGGCAGGGTACCTTTGGATCCAACCTGCAGTTTGAATCCTATCCTTTTTACACAAATGCAGAATAAAAACAGAAGAGAAATACAAAAATTCTTCATAGATGTAGGGACATTTTTAAGCTTGTTAAAATTGAAGCTAATCGAAAGACAGCTGATGCAAGCTGTGTCTGGAAGGACAACCCTAGTATTTTGTATAAGTTATATGGTTATTACTTCGGTGAAGAAATCTGGCTCTATTTCCAACCCTGCTCTCCCATATTCAAGATAAGGAAGTCTCTGGTTGTCTTAATGGTAACTCAGACTGGATCTGAAGGTCACTCAAATAAAAACCCATTAAACTTTGACTGACATCCTTTGCATTACCTACCCTGTCTAGGTGAAGGGTTCTGAAATACCATTCATAATACTCAGGGCTTTTTTTGTAGAAAAAGCCCAGCAGGAACTCATTATCATATCAGGCCACACCCAACAGCAGAAACTCATTAGCATATTAGCCCACACCCTCATGCCTTATCTTGGCTTGCCCAGGCGCCCTGCACCTGTGGGACGCCCGGGCAAGCCAACTCTTGGACAGACCAGGGAGGCATTTAAATGCCTCCCTGATCCTTCCAGAGCCCCCCCCCGGCCCACCCGCCTCGAAGTCGCCGGGGGGGGGTCACTCTCCAGGCCTTCCCTCTGTAGCCATGCACATGCAGAGATTTTGACTAGTGGGCATGTCCAACTCTGAAACCAGCTGGAACTCCGTAAAAAAAACATTCCTGCCTAAAAATAGCCCTGATAATACTAAAACTCTGTTCCCACTGGCGTTGGAAACGTGGTAGATCACTGTGTGCCAAGGCTTGACCTTACATGCAGTTGAACAAACAATGGAATGCCACATCACTATACTGGTATCAGAAAATTATACCTGAAAATATTTGAAAGCAACTCCCTTCTCTGTGTATCCTGAAGATGCAAAATTTTCAAAGCAATTATCAGATGTGTCCTAGCTGACAACTACTCAGAACCCAAGCATTCCTTGGGAAATTTTAATTTCAATAGTCTCTATTGCTGTTGTTTAAAATATCAAAGTAGGACAGACATTACAATGGTTGATGGTCATCATTGAAAATTGAATCTGCAGTTACTTATATATGTTCACCTATACTATTAACAGGGCAGCTCTGCTGAGTTCCAAGCCTCAAATCCTGCATATGCTTGCAGTTATATCAATTTAATAACACTCTACATTTATGACATACATGAGGATAAGTTATCTGTAATGGTTGCAGTTCCACACAAATTCCAGAGGAACAGTCATGTTAATTAAGCCCACTCAACAGGCATTTCTTGTGCTTAGTTCTTAGATTGTAGGTTGTGTCTTTCCATTTGCCCCTTGAGACCAATGAAATTACATTTTTCATTGTTAGATAGTGAGCTCTTGAACGAGTGGTCAGGTTCCTTATTATTACTTCCTTCCTACACCAGTTTGGTGTAGTGGTTAAGTGCGTGGACTCTAATCTGGGAGAACCGGGTTTGATTCCCCACTCCACTTGCACCTGCTGGATGACCTTGGACAAGCCATAGTTCTGATAAGAGCTGTCCTTGAAAAAGAGCAGTTTCTGTCAGAGCTCTCTCAGCCCCACCTACCTCACAGGGTGTCTGTTGTGGGGAGGGGAAGGGAAAGAAGTTTGTAAGCCACTCTGAGACTCCTTTGGTAGTGAAGGGCGGGGTATAAATCCAACCTCTTCTTCTTATTATTATTATTAATAAACAACTAGTTGGTATTTTTTAAAAACAAAATAATAAAAGGTGTGTGTGTGTGTGTGTAAGAAAAGGGCATTGTCTACCGCTATGCAATTTACATACAGAATTTTAAAACATAAACTTAAAAGGATTTGTAACTTGACCGTTCTTCACTTTGGCAGTTGCATTGCATGGCTTAATTGTCAGATTTATGGAACACACAGCAGCAGAAGATCCCTTTATTGAGTAATAAATGTATGTTTATTTTTCATTAGTCCTCGCATCTCCCCTGAAGATTGTGCTTCTTTTCCAAAAACATCATATTTTCACACTGTGCAAAGTGCAATATTACAGCCTTGGGGAAATTTGCTACTTTCCCCACATAGCACATTAATTGCTATTGTGCTTGCGGTATGGAATGTCATTGAGCAAATGACACAGGCAACTAGAAGATATGTTTGTAGCACAGATCAGTGGTGAATAATAAAACTCAGCTCCTAAAGACCTGTGCTATTTTGTGTACTTTTCTTTCACATTTTTAAAGCAGATTTGTATCACTGAATTCTAGATTTTTGTTATAATGGCTTGAACTCATTGTGATTTGGGGTGTAAGATGTTGCCAAATCTAATGAGCAACTGAGTAACATCTGATCCTATAGCTATTGAAGACAGACGGAAGCTAAAGGTTTCATCTGCATTATTTGTTTGGAGTAGATGACATCAGTCCTACTATATTTGAACTATTTAGTAATGGAATGATCTTGTGGATTTAATTTAGCAGTTAAACCCACTGAAATCAATGAGGCTGACTCACAGGTAAGAATACAAATCACTATAAACACAGTCCATCTTTTTCTAAACAGATATTAATCTATTCAAAACCTCAACAGCTTTGATTATCAGACTCCAGAAAGTATCTTGGCTAGGGTGTTGTTAATAATCCATAGCACTGTGTGAAGGCTGCACCATGCTTTTACTTGGGAAACAACATGCTTTCAAAGCACTGTCAGGTCTTAATAGGGTAAAGTGAGACAGTCCACCTTGGTTTTGGTATTTATATATGAATGTTAATATATGCATCACTTCCAGTTATGTAAATAAATATCTGTCTCCCACATATATCCTCAATGGCTTTTACATTTAATTCCCCTTTTAATTACTTAATAAATGTCAAGAATTGTGATGATCTAGACCAGGGGAAATCAACTTCTATATTCTTAGGGCATTTATACTTTTCAGATAGTGGTTGGATGAGTGGGAGAGGCTGCCAAGGGCCAGATAACATGGCTTCAAGTGGCCTTATATAACTAGCAAGCAGGTAGTTATTCACCCCTGCTCTAGATAAGATAGTGACCATTCTGCTTCATCCTTTCTTCATTGTTGTCTGTACTGCTACTCTATCCACACTATGGGAGGATTCTTGCCTTGCCTGATCTCTTTACTTCATGCCAGTCAATGAGCTCAGATTTCACAGAAAGAGCATGGACAAGCCAGGGAAAACCCATGAGATGCATGAGTGTACCATGATGCTTTGTGGAAACAGAAAAAAAATGGTTTCCCAACAGCATCAAACCTGGGGGAAGTATGTGGTGTGGGAAAAGCCCAGAGGAAGACCACAAATGGGGCATGAAGGCAACTGCATCTCTTTCTTGCAGTTTGTTCCGGAAGCAAACAACTAGTATTCAGAGACATACCCTGGTGTTTGCATTTGGTCATCATATACAGACTTGTTTTCCATGGCTTTGTCTAATATTCTTTTAAAATGTGCCATCACCACAAATTTGGCAACAAGTTTTGTGTTAATAATGCATTACGTGCAGAAGTACTTTCTCCACTGCGATCCATTACTCATTAATTTTTATTGGGTGACTCTCCCTTCTTGTCTTAGGAGCCTCCCCCCCATCTCATCACTTTCTTAAAGCTACAAGTAATTCTGTAAATCTCTATCTTCATAACTCCCCCTTACCTTTTTTGATAAAAACCCCAAACCAGACACCATATTTTTTCATAGGTCCAGTGTTCCAAACATTGCATCATTATGAAGCTCTTGTGGATACTGATTCAGGCTCCGGGACTTCTTTTTTAGAAGCAGAGATCAGAACTGTTCATCCTGTTCCCAATGCAGTTGCACCACAGAAATATATATTATAACTAAACATTTTATTTTTTGACTCCTCGGCATGCGATTTGTTTTTTCCACAGCAGCCGCCAGGCCACACATTGATGGTTTGATCTGATCTACCACTGATCTCTTGCCTGCTTCGCCACCGGCAATTCAGAGGGCATTGTGGTACATTCTGCCCACACACAAAAAGCCTTATGCACTGTGGCACCTGAACGATTATCAGATTTCTTGAAGCATAAGCTTCACGAGCTACTACAAAGGACTTTCATGAATTAAACCCGCAAAAACTCCCGCCTCAATAAATGCGAGGATTTTAAAGGTTGGGTTTTGTCGCGCCTGGATTCTGCGCATCACCACCGAAAGGGCCGAAAAGTTACCTCCCCCTCGTGAAGGAGGCGCTCAGTCTCTTACCCCCGCCGGCCTCCCTAGAGAGTGGCGGCCCTCTCTTGGCGGAGCCCTGACCAGAGGGGGAGAAAGAGAGAGCGCTCTTGGTAGCCTCTCCGTGATAAGAGATTGGAGGAGGGGGGGGGAAGAGAGCAGGTGTGGGGAGAAGCCTTTATGCTCGGCCCGCTCTCTTTCTCTACCAACGGCGGCGGCCGCTGAGTGACAGGCAGTCTCGGACCCTCCCCAAGGTGCGCGGCCGCCTCAGTGAGGCGAGGGGGGGGGGCTCCTCCAGCCACCTTGCCTGCCTGGCAGCCCCTTGGCGGCTCCTGCCAGGGCTTCCTCCGCCTCTTCCCTGCACTTCCTGCTCTGTCCGCAGTGCCTCCTCCTGCAGCTCCCGCGGCACTTTACACGCCAGCTCCTTCCTCCTCCTGGGCGTCCGGCTTCCCAGGAGCCGCAGCTCCTTTCCTCTCAGTCAGTCTGAGAGCTCCTTTCCTCTCAGTCTGCTGCTGCTGAAGGAAGGCGGGGAGCCTTTGAAAGGCGGCGGCGGCGGCGGCGGCGGCGGCCAGCTTTCTCTGCGGGGCTGCTGCTGAGCTCTCTCCCTGAGGAAGCGTGGCCTTGCGGGCCGAGGAAGAGGGGCTGCGAGGGAGGGGCAGCGAAGGTGAGTGCTTGGCGCTCTTGCCCCGGCTTCCTAGGTCTGCCTCCGCCCTTCTCCCCCGCAGCCTTTCCGGCCGTCAGGCTTGCCTTATGAACCCCCCCCCCCTCCTGCTCGGCCTCCCTCCTGGCAGCCCCTCCTCTAAACTTTTGAGCTGTGGATGGGGGGATTGCTGCTCCCTCTCCGGGGGGGAAAAACGAAGGGACGTCTGAGGAGGAAGCGCGGAGGAGAAAAGGGAATCCCCGTCGCTCGGACTCAGCTGGGAGACGAAGGAGAGCGGGGAGCTCTCGGGTACCACACAGGGCTTCCTTTTCATGTCACCCCTGGGTTATCTGGTGGCTCCTTTCCCGCTTTTCCCCCCGCTGCCTCCTCTGACCTGTACATGCTTTATGCTGGAATGACAAAATGGGCTGGCAAGGCGGGTGTGTGTGTATCTGTAGGTCTTATCCAGGGTTAAAGTTAGCAACGCGACTCATCTAGACGGTGGTGAAGACGCAAAGATACAATGCACACCAAGTCATAGACGGTGGTGAAGACGCAAAGATACAATGCACACCCAGTCAAGTCACGGGTTTTAATCTGGTTTCTGGATTGATGATCTTTAAAGAAAGTTTGATCCTTCAGCCTGGGAAGATAATTAAAAAGTTGCCTGAGGTTGGAATTTGCCCTTCATAAGGGCTCCCTACTAAGGAGAGATGTATCGCACCAGTGGTTGGAGAATTGAACTTGCTCCGTAATGGTTGCTGTGAAATGTTCCAGTGTTGGTGTTGGCACATTAAACTTTCAAGTGAAAGACATGTGGAAATCAACCCGCAGATGTAGCCTGCAGTATGGCCTTATGCACAGTGGCTGAAAAATGCATATTATACATTTGGAATTTATTAATATGAGTAGTCAGGTTTCCCTATCTAACCAGTGGCTTGTGTATGTCACTGAAATAACTCTTAATTGTTGTGCTAAATCAGTTTGAAGTATAACTTTGGAGGGAGGGAATTTTTATGAAACAGAAGCCTTTCTTTATTGTCTGTAAGGAATTGCTTTATCAATAATCTGGTCAGTAAATCCGGTCAGTTATTATTCAACTCTCCAGAGTCTGTGACTATTATTCAGGTTATTATACCTTTGTGTTATTGTGTGGGTAAAGCAAATGTTTTTTGGACTAGTAGTTAAAATGTGCATTACGTCAAATGTCTGTATTTGAGTTACTTGTTCTGACTGACTTTCCTGTTTATTTCATTGCAGTACAGAAATCATATGATTTCATGAGGATCCGACCTTTGGAATCATGTTTTTGCGCTGTTCTGGTGCCACGAACCCGTGATTTTTGTGGTGCCCCCTATGATGGTGGTTTGATTTCCTTTCAATGCTAAAATCATATGAATTCATGAGGATCCATTTAGATCTGAGTTTTACCCAGACCCCGTAGTTCCCCCAGCCGCTGTTATTGTGTGGGTAAAGCAAATGTTTTTTGGACTAGTAGTTAAAATGTGCATTACGTCAAATGTCTGTATTTGAGTTACTTGTTCTGACTGACTTTCCTGATACCTAGTGATTTCTTCATATTTAATTTTAATAAAAGAAACCAACCAAACATAAACTCCTCCAGTCTGTTTACCGGCCATATAGCAGCGCTATTAGCAGGGAAATCTAACTGGGTTAATTGAAAATGAACATTTTTTAAAAGCTCTTAAATCTTATGCTTTTTTCAGCTGAAAGTCTATTTAATTTGTCCTTGTTTAAGTTTAGGTGAACAAGTTTGACTTGCTCTGCTTCTGTATTATTTGCTTTGGGGTTTACAATTTTTCTTTTGGAAGTGTTGAAGGTGTTTGGCTGTTATAGTACAAGATGCCAGTATGGTTTTTCTTTTATCACAACAGTGTGTGGTTTTATATTGGTTTATAGTAACAAATAAAGTACTTGAAAGATAACATTAGCATTAACTCTAAGAAGTTGAAGAAGACTGTTCCTGAGCAATTCAGTGCTGCTTTGTACAGGGGGAAGTCTTGTTGGCAAAAGAACTCATTTCCCAAAATGCATGAGCGTTTTTTCTTATTCTGTAGTCTATAGTCCACAGCTTTTTCCTAAGCTTTCCTTCTGGAAATGGCAATATTAGACATTTTTATAACAATTTTATAACAATAGAACATTGTTTCAGTAATTTAATGTTTCTATTTCTGATTTATATGTTCAATATATGTCAGCAATCCCAAACCACTTAAACTTCGGTTCCTCCTCCTTCTGCACATAAATAGATCTTGTTCTCCAGAGCTGTGACAGGAACTTCATAAAATGTGTGGCAGGTGAAAATGTTTTAAAATCACTTTCAGGATATTGTTACTTTTGTTTTTTGATAAGATAATGACAAGGAATATGTAAACCTAGTATATATTATAGGGTGCATTGTTTGATTTGAAAATGGGAAATTCTTGTTTTTTCAAAAATCATTTTGATGGCAATTGAAAAAATGGTCTTAAAAGTCCTGACCACATATATTATAGTAAATTTGTCAGTCACTAAGGACTCTTTTTCTTTGTTTTTCTGCAATAAACTAACATTGCTATGCCACTGGAATTTCAAATTAATTATACAAAGGTGGGTTAATGGTTTTTTTTTTTCAGGAAATGCACATAAAGCGCTTCCACTCCAAATGCGACGTCCATTGAGGAGCAAAAGGCTGTGTGTCCTTAAGTCACAGCGGCTGCCAGACACCAGGAGAAAGGCGGAAGAACCCCACCGGGCAGCTCCCCCCAGCACCGCCGTTTTTTTTTTTTTGCCTCTGTGTTGCACATAGATCGATGTTGGATACTTTATGTTTGTGCCTTGGAAATAGCCTAAATGTGGCAGGCGGGGGGAACATTAGTTGATTATTTAGTCTCAAGTGGCATCCAGTTCCTAAGTAATGCAGGAAAGTGTTTTGTAATGTAATTTCTAGTAATGGGAAATGTCTGCTAAGTTTGGAGAAAAGAAGTAGCAGTAAATCTGCTTGGGAGTCAGGATAAGACTTTTGAGTTCTTGGACAATAACTGGGAGTTGAGTGGACATCTTGGGGAGGCTGGTGAAGGGAAAGCAGAAGCTGGAGAGGTGCTAGACGAGTGACTGTGTTGTTCATTGGGAGAGGATGGGGATGCAAGGAGCACTGTACAAAGTATAGTATTGACGGGTTGTATCTATTCTTTTTTTGTTATTCATATTTTATTGAATTTTTCACAAAGTATAATCAAGAAACCTTATAATTTGACATTAAATACAGAACATCAAACATAAACAGTATGCTAACTTATCATGTAAAGGTGTAAAACATGTACAAAGATTCAACATCTGCGAACTATGTGTAGTAGAAATCAGAGTAGCCAAACATCAATCTTGTGAGTATGTAATAACTTGGTGTTTCAGAGTTCCGTGTATCTTAGCGAGACATCCTAGCCAAAACTTGTGGGTAGCCAGGCTAATCTTTGTTATACTCCTAATGTGTAAATTAAACCTATAGAGAAGCTTAGTATTTACAAGCAGAAACAAAAAGGGAAAAAACTGAACCTAACAATAGAATCCAGAACCAAACAAAGGTTAGTGAAGAAGAGGGCCAATATTAAAACCTATCTAATAAAAGTGGAAAATGATACATGTATTTATTAATAACAAATTTTAAAACATATACAGGGGCCCATTTACAACAATTATATATAAAACATTACAATAACAAGGGCTTAAAAGCTTGACCTTACGCGTTTTGGCCAAATAGGCCTTCCTCAGAGGTCATATATATGTGGCAAAATGGCTAATACATATATTCACATACACACAATCAAGAATATATACAAAGTATAAATTCAATAAGGACCATAAAGTAAATTGTTCAAAAATAAAATCACCAGGCACAGGGTCAATATGCACATAAGGCCTTTAAAGTGCTATCACTAGCCCAGTGATTATAAAGTAGACTTGTGGTCCAAAAATGTCCTTCTTTGATTGTGTTGCCACAGTATTCACAAGTAAAAAGCAGTGTGGGTAAACTTAAAAGTATTAGTATTTACAACCATTCATGATACTGAGACCAAAATGTGGGAACAGGGTTGTATCTATTCTGACCTTCTAATTGAGGCGCCTTCACTTCTACTTCCTCCATTTTTTGAAGAGGAAGTCCTTGGATCCAGCTCATTGTCCATAGCGATTCAAACCTATCCATGTAACCTTTTTGCATTAAATTGTCTTATTTGCTGATAAAGGGAGGGGAAATAATAACGAAACTAAATAAGCAGTTATATCAAAATTGCGTGTTATGTTATGAAAAGAAACATCTGGCTACTGATATGCTTTTAAAAATATTTATGTATGACGCGCAGCCCTTTAATGTCGGCAACATGAAACAGATTTTGTTACGACAAGAGGCACGATGGACATATAGATTAAAAGTTCATACTGAATTTTGACTTAACCAAAGTGTAGAGTTGTCATGCTTTGTCTAAATATATACATATAACATTTTTGGGAAGCTATTTTATGTTTAGAAGATCTTTGAAAATATATCAAAAAGAAAATGCTTTTTTAAAAAAGTGCTGTGATAGGTCTTACCTATTTCAATATGTGTTTCTTCCTTAGTCTCCTTAGAGAACCAGTTATGGTTGTGAAAGCTGTATATGTTACTCATTTACTTTCTACATGTTTTAGAGATGGAAACTTGACTGTTAAATAATAAATAAATGCAACTTTAGGAATCCCTTGACTTTTCTCTAGCATAGTGTTTTGTGTGCCTTTGCACTAGGAGTTGCGGATTTGGTTGAGAATTCGATGAACTGGTGGCTTTTCTTTTTCCATGGATTTTTTTCTCCCTGGAGTTGCTTCTTTTGTATGTGTGTGGGAATGCACGCACCTGGAAGTCATGGTGACCTCTGGTGACTAACTGTGTGTGCACCCAGAAGTCATGGCAATCTCTGATGACTGACCCCTACTGGGGAGGGGTGGCTGAATAAGGCCTGCCCCCGCCTCCCAACTGCTGGTATTCCAGGGAGGTCTCCCACCCAAGTACTTGCCAGAGTCGATCCTGAATAGCTTCTGAGATCTAACGATCTGGGCTATCCACCTCAGGGCTCCCTGGAGTTGCTTCTTGATGAATTTTTAAACAGTGTGGGCTCATACAGCCCCGTGCCTTCACACTTCTTTTGGCCTATCTGTGCTTTAGCATTCCAGAGATTATACTGATGACTTTAACGCATCTGACGTTGGGATCCAGTAAAAGATTTCTGTGTGCATTAGAACCTTTCTACAAGCAGAAACTTTCTAAAAAGATCACAGCTTGCACTACGTTCAGCTTATTGTATCTCAGTTTGTACTTTCACTTACACAAAATGTTGTTCATGTAATCATTGAGATTGACAGGTGTTACAGTATACTTAGGGCCAGGGTGGATTTGATTTAAATCAAATAGATTTAAATCACTAGCCAGGAAGACTAGATTTATATCATGGTTTTCTACATAAAGACTTTTGCTGGTATCTTAATAGTTAGAACCCGATGAAGGTTTTGTTTTTAGAATAACACCTTTTCAGATTAGTTTTACAATTATATAAAAAAATTATAAACACATCATAGATAATTATGAAATTATTGTGAGGTGACCAATTTAATAGGTCAATAATTCATATTTGGACAACTTTTCTGCTGTACTTTATTGGAAGGAGAAAAATAATCATTACCTTAATAATAACAAATAGTGTTATTTAACTAAAACAATACATTATAGCATATGTATTCTTATATTTGCTTAAACTGTTTGTTAACTGATGTGGTTAAACAAAATATCTTTTTAAAAAAAAAACTTAGACCAGAGGTGTTACTCATTGGTTACGAGAGCCAGATCTAACATAAATGTCACAGGCTGGGCCATGTGTGCTATAAAACACAATGCCAGCTACTGGAGACAGAAACTGTATAAAGGACAGCAGCTGGTAAGCTTCAAGTTGGTGTATCCTCACTGCAAGGCCCCCTGGGCTGGAAAACCCACATAGGTGGACTGGGGAGACAGCAGTGCAGTGTTGGGCAGATGCTCCCATGATGCATGACTGCTGCAGGTGAGATTGTTCTGCCGTGCTGAAGCCACAATGGAGTGGCTTCACCCACTCCACTCAGTACTCCCTCCCTTGCACCAGTTGCTTGTGGGCCATATAAGAGTTCTGGACGGGCCTGTTCCGACCCCTGAGCCTTATGTTTGACACCCCTGCCTTAGACTATCAGCCTGGTCCACACATAAAAAACTTAAAATACTGTCCTATGTAGTTCATTCATCTTCATGTTCTTGTTTATTCATAATCTGGAAAAGAAAAACAAGCTTTTCTACTTTATCAGATCCCAAACAATTTCTCAATTTAGAATGAATGAATCCAGAGGAAGAGAATATTGAAGCTACTGCTGTTAAAAGTGAAATCATTACTTCAACAGTCTCTAAATCCAAGTGCTTAAGTGACTTCTACCAGTTCACTGGTGTGACTGTCTATAAAACATCATCAGCAAACATATATTTTTGAATGGTTCCCCCTTAGCTCTGAAGGTTATTATAGTTGGCATTACAGATGGATGATTGCTAACTCCTCTTCCTCAGCACTTAAGGTTTGAGCCTGGTACCATATATTGACAATATTTGCAAGAAAATGAGCTGGAGACAGTGCTTGTCCCATTCATTTTTTAATGCTTGTAATTTAGTTCTGTCAGTGTGTAGTTCTGTTTTTAAGTGCTCACTCAGTTCATTCCAAATTTCAACAGCATCAGAAATAAAAGTTATTTTTCTGTATTTTGTTTAAAGCTTCAGAAATGGGTGTCAGGATGCTCAATATATGTTCAACATTTCTCTTAAGTCCAATGTTGAGGCTTTTGGCTGTGAGAGTGCCATCTATTTTCTCTCAGTTTGGAATAGGCCAGTTCTTGATATACTGCTCAAAACAGTCCACTACAGTGTTCCATCCAACATCTTGTGGGAATGTTAGCTTGGTTCCACCTGTTTTTTCCCCCAGAACTGCTGCTGCAAAATGATTGTTACAGAAGTATTTAGCAATTTCAATGATATTAGTCTTTATTTCTGGGAGGTACAGCAAATGAGCACTGCCAAACATATGGCATTAGCTTTGTATTCCCTTCCTGCTCTTCTAAATGTCTTCTCATCTTGGAAACATTTGCAGCATTGTCTGTGACCAAAGTGCGTACTAGAAATTTGAATTTTTGTTCACGTTAGAGCTTTTGCTGCCACTTCTTATAAGTATTGTGCTGTGTGTGCATTTCCTGACATCTCAATTGTTTCTGCAAGGAAAACATTCCCTTCTTCTGTTGCTATACAAGCACACACAACAGGATCATTGTGGACATTACTCCACCCATCAAGACGTAGGTTAACAATTTTACCCTCTAGGGCTGTTGCACATTGCTCCATTTCTCTGTCATACACTTTATCCAGCAGTTTCCTTGCAACATCTGCTCTGCTGGGTGGACTGTATCCTGGTCTCAGTGACTGAACCATATTCATGAAGTGTGGGTTTTCAGTCAGATGGAAAGAAGAGTTTGTCACATAAACAAACTGGGCAATTTCCCCCATTAATTAACTCTTCTTTTAATCTGCTGGTTTTTATCACAAACTTACCTGTGGTAGTTCCTAGATGGTTGGCTTTTTCTTTCTTTTAGGTGATATACTGTGGATGTGTGTTGTATATGATGTGACTGAAACACTATTGTGGACAGATAACTCTGAAATTGTAGAACAGGTGGATGGTGATCTCAAAGGTGGATAGTTTGGACTGGAGTGTTGGACTGGATGGGCCTTTGGCCTGATCCAACATTGGCATCTCTTACGTTCTTATGTTCTTATGAGTACAATGCTATAGAGTCCACTCCAAAGCATCTGTTTTCTCCAGGGAACTGATCTCTGTAGTCTTGAGATGACCTTAGCTAATGAGTAAGATGATTACTATATCCAGTAGTTTAAAGATTTTCTTGCAGAATCTTAAATTACATGAATCAAATAGAACTATCTTTTTTTTGGTGAATTTTGTGTTTGTGTGTGTATGCCTTAGAACATAAGAACATAAGAGATGCCAATGTTGGATCAGGCCAAAGGCCCATCCAGTCCAACACTCTGTATCACACAGTGGCCAGAAATACCAGTGCCATCAGGAGGTCCACCAGTGGGGCCAGGACATTAGAAGCCATCCCACTGTTGACCCCCCCAAGCACCAAGATGACAGAGCATCACTTGCCCCAGAGTCCTTATCTATACCTTGTGGCTAATAGCCACTGATGGACCTCTGCTCCATATGCTTATCTAATTCCCTTTTGAAGCCGTCCATGCTTGTAGCCGCCACCACTTCCTGTGGCAGTCAATTCCATGTGTTAATCACTCTTTGGGTGAAGAAGTACTTCCTTTTATCCGTTCTAACCCGACCGCTCAGCAATTTCATGGAGTGCCCACAAGTTCTTGTATTGTGAGAAAGGGAGAAAAGTACCTCTTTCTCTACCTGCTCTTTCCCATGCATAATCTTATAAACCTCAATCATGTCACCCCTCAGTCATCGTTTCTCCAAGCTAAAGAGCCCTAAGCGCCTTAACCTTTCCTCATAGGGAAAGTGTTCCAACCCTTTTATCATTCGAGTTGCCCTTTTCTGCACTTTTTCCAAAGCTATAATATCCTTGAACGTTTCAGAGAGGTGGCTTACTATTTCCTACTTCTGCATCCTGGCCCTGGTATTCCCTGGAGATCTTCCTTCCAAGTACTTGACAGGGTTGGCCCTGCTTAGCTTTTGAGATCTGATGAGATCGGGCTTGCTTGGGCTATCCTGGTCAGGGCTTAAATAGAACTATCTTGTGCCACTCTATAATGAGAAAAATACCAAGAGATGACTTAAGATCTCAGCAGATACCAGCAAAATGACTTACGTGAATACTAGTGCTGATATTGAAATACTGATTTAGTGTGCATAGTATACTTTCTACAAAACAAGTGCCGTGGCTTTGCTACCTACAAAATGTTTACAGTTTAAAGACCTACTGTTACTTAGCACATGTGTTACCCTTCCTGCTATACTAAAGATCAGAATGGCAAAAATGTTAAGGTTTCTCCCACCCACTCCTGGAATTCTTTAATGCAACTGAATTAGTGTTCAACATTGATAACTCTTCATTGAAATGATAGTGAAATGAGAAACCAGCACATGAAAAACAAATTGGTGGCATGAGCTTTTATGGACAAGAGCATATTTCATTGGATGCACAAAATATAGATATGGATATATAGTATATATGCAAATTAGTACAATGTGGGATAAGAATGTTTTGAAAAATGACACTAGAAGATGAACAAATACATCCTGAAAGCTGATACACTATGGTATTTGATTACTAGGGTATTATTTTCTGTTATCAAATTCACCATAATCTTAATAGTTAGTTTGAAAATAATCTATTGCTGTGTGTGGGAAAACTGTATAGAATAATGATAAATATAGACAACTTTTAAAGAAAATTCGTTCTGCTTACAAATGATAGGTTAGTTCTATTTTCTATTAGCTGTTGTAAACATAGCTGAAATCATGAACATATTTTGAGAACTGGGTTTACTTTCAAGATAGTGTGTTTTAGATTTGGAAAATAGCTCCAATGAGGTTAAGTCTCAGATGCTGCTACAATAAAATGAAAAATAAATATATCTTTTGTTTCCCAAATCAACAGAGATCTATAGCTTCTTTGAGATGGTAGGACTGGGAAACGGCCGTCGAGGGATGAAGTCTCCACCTCTTCTAGTAGCAGCACTGGTGGCTTGCATTATTGTTTTGGGCTTCAATTATTGGATTGCAAGTTGCCGCAACATTGATTTGCAGGTATTGCTTTTCTTATTATTTTCACATTGATTGAACTGGTGTAGTCATTTTTCCTTGTTTCGCAATTACCATTAATGCTTGAGGTTTAAAAAGCAGTTTAAGGTTCTCTGATTTTGAGGTCTCAAAGGCATTTGGATATTGGCCATGAGAGGGAGAGAAGAATAGGGAAGAAGAAGGAAAGTGCATGGGAAGGAGATTATAATTGCAGAAACTCTGTAGCTTTATCCTTCCACTGTTGGCTGACTGACAAATACCATATTTTCTTTGTGTATGTCTCTAATATATGCATACATCGGAAGACAAAGCTTTAACTGAATACTTTACATTTTAAAATGTGAAATTTATCACCCACCTTCTCTGCCTCCCTTTTCTGTCCCTCAGACCTGTATGATGTTAGTTCCCAGTTCAAATTACTATCCTGTGCCTCTACAGCTGCTATACATTGACTATCATTATTTCTAGTGATTTTCTACTTTTCTGTGATATCTTATTGGCTCAACCATTGTCAGGGAGGGATCGTAGATGACTGGCAGCTAGGTTTGTGTGTGCTTCTACATGTATATTCTAGGCTTGCCATCTGCCTGCTGGGGGTGAGAAATCTCCCACCCACTGAAAAGTACTGGGTTCACAGCATGGAGGCAAAATCAATGTGAAGCCAGGACCATGGTTTACGGGTTGACTCCCACAGCTGTGGGGGTGCGCTTGGTGGGTTAGGTCGCACTTGCTGGCAGGTTTGGCACCTCCAGACCCAGGACTCTATCTCAGCATCGATACCTGGCCACCACACATAGCTCCAGGCTAGTGCCTTCATTCTTACGATGCCGGGATGCGCCTTGTGGAGTGCCTTGAGTACCCGCTGTCGCAGGCTGCTGGGGACCACGACTCAGTCCCCCCACAGGAGACACTCCTTAAGGGCTGAGAGTACATCCTTCCTGGTAGTGAAAGCTGCAAATTTGGGGCCCGGGGACATAGGACAACCCAAGCCAAGCCCCGGGAGAGGAGGGGGTTGTGGGCTGACTTTGCAGCGATGTCAGCAGCTTGCAGAGGAGGCTCCGGAAGACTTTCGACGAGCAGGACCCCTGGTGCAGGAGCGGGATTGGCGCCAGCAACTGGCAGCAGTAGCTGGCTCAGTGTGTTGGCATGGCCCATCGCCTTGGCCGGGCGGTGTTCCAGGTGGTACTGGTAGCCAGCCAGAAAAAGGGACCACCTGAGGACCCGGGGTGACATGACTTGGGGCGTTTGCTTGTCGGCAGCTAAGAGGCCTAAGAGGGGCTTATGGTCCGTAGCAATTGTGAAAGGGCACCCGTAAACGAAGTTGTGAAACTTCTTGACCCCAGCAACAATAGCCAACCCCTCCCTGTCGATTTGCGCATAGTTGCACTCCGTGGCCGTTAAGGTTCTGGAGTAATATGCCACGGGAACCTCGCGGCCGTCAGGGAGGACGTGGCCCAGCACTGCACTGACGCCATAGGGAGAGGCGTCACACGCAAGTACAACCGGTAGGGATTAATCAAAGTGGGCCAACACATTGTTAGAAATTAAAAGCGCTTTCACCCCCCTGAACGCCGCCGCTTCCCTCGGGCCCCAGGACCAAGGAGCCGACTTATCCAGGAGCTGGTGTAGGGGCTCCGCTACAGCAGCCTTGTGTGGCAAAAAGGCGTGATAAAAGTTTGAGTCCCAAGAATGCCTGTAGTTCCACCGACACCACGGCCTCTGGGGGCGGAAACCCCCGGGACGAGCACGAGCCCGACAGGATCAAACAATTATACTCCAATTCCAGTCACAAATTAGCTGTGGCCATCAGCCAATTGTGAGTGGGCATGGGTGTGCCCAATTGTTGGTTGCCATAGCTGCACATCAGGTATGTGTATAGATTGGCTAGGAGTTTGGAGACCCCACCTGCAGTCAGTTGACCCCAACTCCAGCTACTTCATTGTGTACGTGACTTCTCGCATGTGGGGCCTAGTGTGGAGCCTTACAGTCTAGCTTCTAGCATGGAAGTGTGAAGAATGTGGGTTATAAAGTTGTTCAGGCCATCTGGCCCACCATTTGGCTTGCAACAGGAAATAAGACACAGCATGTTATCAAAAGACATCACAGGAGAAAGCATGTGAATATAGAAGCAATATTTCTATACAGGAAGTTTCTGCTGCCGTCTCGCGGGTGGCGGCGGCCTGGTGGCGTGACTGACCTGGAGGCTGCTGGTGCCGGCTTCCCTTGGACTGGCAGACATGAGCGAGATGACCCTGTTTCCCACAGGTGTGGCACGTCGCATTGCGGAATCAGCAGGACTTACGCTCGTGTGCCTTTCTGCAGCTTGCACATGAAAAATGGCTGGTGGTCTTTTCGGTGGATCCGGATGCAGCAGGTCCCAGTGGCTTTCGGCGAGAGGGCAGGCAGACGAGACGGATGTCCTCATCAGAGTTCTCGGGGGCCGAGTCGAGGAGTACTAGATGAGATGCCGCTGGGGGATTGTCGCAGTGAGAGCCCTCATGGGCGATGGCGAGTTGGAGGGCCTCATCGATCTTGATGTTGGCGGTACCGATCATCTTCCTCCGCAGCTTTAGGTTGCTGATGCCCCACACAAATTGCGTTAATAGGTTCTTCTCCACCTTGGTGAAGGCACAGTCCATGGCCAGCTGGCGCAGGGCTGCCATGAAAGCAACGGCCAACTCACTCGGTTTCTGGACGCGGCCCTGGAACTCAATCCGCCTGGCGAGCGTAGTAGGCCGGGGCGTGAGGTACTTCGTCAGGGCATCTATTATTTCCTCATACGAGCACTCGAGGATCACCCGGGGTGCGAGGAGGCTCTTTGCTAGGTGGATTGTGATCACGCCACAGGAGCTGAGAAGAAGGGCCCGTTGTTTGCCTGGATCTGTTACCTCATTGTAGGCGAGGTGGCAAGTCAGTTGGTCCGTCGAGTCCCAGAGTTTGGGATGGGCTGGATCGAAGAGCTCCAAGTTCCCCCGAGCAGAGGCCATGGCTTAGCGCTTAGTGGGGAGCGGTGTTCCTTGACGTGGTGTGTGGTGCGGTGCTGCTTGAGAGTGATGCGGGTCGCGGTGGCGTTGGCTGGAACGAAGCTCGGTGCTGCGCTGGGACGCAAGCCAGGCCTGGCTCAGCGGGATCCCATCCTCGTCGCCACTGAAAAGTACTGGGTTCGCAATATGGAGGACTTGGACGACGACATGTGATTGCACACATTTATTGTACTTAACATCGAACTGCAAAACGGCCCTGCAAGGCCGACCATATACACACCCACCCAGCACACCCACAGTCCCATTGGGGGGTTTGAACTTCCCACCATAGTTCCTATTGGTCCATGCTGGGGTAACTAGGATCCTCCGTTCCTATTGTCTTGAGGAGCTAAGCTCCTGCCTGTAGCCGCAGACCCCTGCTGGCGGTCCGCGTACATAACACCCCCAGTTCCCAATGGTCCCCAGCACTCCAGCATCCAGTGTGAGGATTTTTAAAAAATCACTCTTGTACAAAGCTAAATGGAGTAATAATATTGGTACTGTGGTTATGGATGTGCTTTTCTCAGGGATCTTCTTTCATCATCTCCCTTGTGTTTAAAGAAAATACACTTAAAATCGTCCACCAGCTTTTTATGACTCCAAATAAAGCGCTATGATTTATAGCAGTTGCACTGAGCACTGTCGGTACTTCAGTTTTCCACTGGCTGATTTTATCCATATGTGGTGGCATTGTCCTCATGCTACCAAGTTTAGGGGAAGGATCTGTGAGAAACTGGAACAGGGTTGTGAATCTGAGATTCTTTTTAGGCTGGACATTTTTCTATTGAACTATGTAGCAAGATTTCCTAAGAGGTTTCAGGTAGTTTTATTTTATCTAATTTTGGCAGCCAGGATTGTCTTAGCCCCAAATATTGATGATTGGATAGGAAAAATCAAATTAATTTATTTTAACTTAAAGTTTACTTATTTACTTAATTCAACGTTAATCTTTATGGGAAATCAAATTAATTTATTTTAACTTAAAGCTTACTTATTTACAAAGAGGAAAGTGCTTAATTCAACGTTAATCTTTATGAGTTCTTTTTCTTAACAGGAAATCTATATAATTGGTTATATGACATGTAAAATACTGGATATGTTTTTTGATGTTTATGAAATGTTAACATTTTGATTTAAAAAAATCACCGTCAGGCAACAGCATTAAGAGACTAACAGGGAAAAACCTGGTGATATCATATCTCTCTAGGAATTGCCAGAAACTCTATGGATTCCTAAAGAAGCATGACATCACTGCTACATTTTCCCTGGAAGTGATGGAAGGGACCCCCCATGTCCCTGCTCCCCAGACTTCTGCTGTTGCCAGTCGTTGGCTGGCAGCCATAGTATGTCTAGTTTGCATTTTGCAAATATAAAAAAGGAAATTAAATTCTGATTGCACATATTTCTGAAGAAGATTCTTTATAACACTATTTTCTTTTTCATCTGTCTGCTGTCTCGCAGAATCATATAATGGAACTAGAAGGCAGAGTCCGCAGGGCAGCAGCAGAAAGAGGTGCTGTTGAACTAAAAAAGAATGAATTCCAAGGAGAGCTACAGAAACAGAGGGAGCAGATTGACAATATCCAGAACCTGCATAACTTCCAGATGGAGAATGCTAATAAAATATACAGGGATGAGAAGGTAGGAGCTCTTTTCTCTAGCTTTGTTTTTGGCCTAATTGTATAATTCTTACATGTTTGGCATCCCTTGTTGTCTTGTTGCTGGACATTTCCTGACTGAGGGTCAGCTTCATGCAAGTGTAGCAGCAGGTTTATTTCTGGCACTACCCCTCCGCATCCCAGTTTAAGGGAAGGAGTCTTCCATGGAAGGACAGCCTTGCTGCATTATGCTGAGAGAGGGTACCTCAAAAAACTGTAGGGGTTACACTTACATATCCTCTTGACAAGGAACATATGGGGAAGAAAGACAATAGTGTACTGTGAAAATGCTATGGGAGCCCATGATTCACTTTTCTTCATTGCAAGGAACACAAAACAGTCATGTTTGCTGGTGATGGAGAGTTGCTGTTTACCTGAAACTTAAATTAGTTTAAATACGGCAAGGAATTATTGTTTAACAATGGGAGTACTTTCTGGGGCAAAATCACTTGGGTGGTTCAGTCATAGCTGTGATGTTATCCTAGGAAAACTAAACAATTGGAGAGATTCTAAAAGAAACTTAACATCAATACAGTGGGAACTGGCGTTGCAGCTGTTCAGTAATTGGAGATGTGCCTATGAAGAAGGGTTCGTGTAAAAATAATAATTGTTATTTACTTCTGTATGAAATCTTGTGAATGGATAGTACAGTAATGAAAACATTTGCATTTTGCCATGAAACTAGCCTGGTATGGTTGTAATCTATTCATTTTTTCTTTTTAGCTGACATCGCTAGCTCAGCTCCTTCTAGGGTTGCCAGCCTCCAGGTGGTACCTGGGGATCTCCCACTATTATAATTGATCTCCAAGCAACAGATCAGTTCCTCAGAGGAAAATAGATGCTTTAGAGGGTGGACTCTATGGCATTATAGCATGCTGAAGTCCCTCCTCCCCAAACTCGGCCCTCCCCAAGCCCCTATATCCCAACACAGTGCTGGCAACCCTAGCTCCTTCTGATTGAATCCAAATCTATCTTTCAACATTAACAGACGAAACTGAGCACAATTTTCTCTGCTCTCCCCCATTTCTCAGCCTGCTCCTTCCAAATAACATTGGCAAAACCTTGCTCCTTGAGGTTGTGTAGTAAACGTAATGATTTTATTTTAAGTAAAATAATATTTTTCCATGAAATCCCAAATATTATGGAGTGAAGAATGAGAAACTTAGTATGAAAGTATATTGATAATTGTATATGAGGGGGAAGGAGAGGGTGTTACCCTACCAATGTCAATTTAAGAAGCTGAATTGCTGCTGTGGAGTCTTGTGAGCAAAAATTCTACTTTGTGAGCTAATGGCATTAAAGTTGTGAGTGATTGATTTGGCTACCACATAAATTAGTTTGCTCTGGAGCTATCCTTCCTGAGCTAAGACAAAAAGGTGTGAGCTGGAGGCTAAAAAACTGAGCTACCTCACACTAACTTAGCTTAGAGGGAACATTGATTCTGAGTGATCTCCAGTTCTCACCTGGAGATTGGCAACAATGATTGCCCATGAGGAAAAGTACAGTCTTTCTCTGCAGTGGGGACCAAAGCAGCTTACATCATTCTCCTCTTCCCCTTTTGATCTGCACAACAACCCTGTGAGGTGGGTTAGGCTGAAATTCTGTGACTGGTCCGAAATCATCCACTCAGCTTCCATAGCAAGAACCTGAGTTTGGCAGACCCTGCTTCGAAGCACTAACTGCTACACCACACTGGCTGTGGTATCGCCTGTGTATAGAAATATTGATTTCTAAAAATCCATGCCTTCTCCTGTGATGTCTTTCTGATAACATGCTGTGTCTTGTTTCCTGTTGAAGCCAAATGGCCTGTCCATTTGGCCAGAGAAACTTTATAACCATGCCATGTAACCACACATTCTTTCACACCTCTAAGGGAAGAGGCAGACCTGATGGCGTCTGGCTCTGCCTCACATGCAAAAAGTCACATCAGCAATGGAGAAGCTGGAGTTTGGGGTCATGTGACTGCAGGCGTGGTCTCCAAACTTCTAGCCTATCCCCACACGTAGCCATGACAACCAGAAATTGGGCACATCCCCTGTCTGCTCCTGGTTGGCTGATGGCCACAGCTGATAATGACTGGAATTGGGGTTTAATTGTCTGATCCCAACGAGGGAGAGTTCAGTTCTGCGCCTGTTCTCTCTACTTGTTTTATTCTACCTGGAAAATGCTGTCTCTCTGGGAGACAAAGAACTGTTTTGTGAGCTGAGCACATGGTTGGCAAAGATGGGATTTCTCCTACTCAAAATCCCTTGGTGCTACTCTGGACTGTTTGGATTTTCCTGAACTTGGTAAATATGCCATTTTGGCAGTTTATTCTGACGGGGAAGAGTGGCCAGGCTGGTATTGGTCGGGAGAGAGAAGCAGACCCAGCACCCAGCCAATGGCACGAGAGTACTCTTGAGGGGGGGTTGATGGGCCAGTGGCTGATGGAGTACATAGCACCGACAATGGGAAAGGGCCAATACACCAGGTTTTTATATATATCAGCAGGGCTATT